CAAGGAAGCGAAGGAAGTGCTTAAAAGTGGGCATCAATCTTTTCAGTCTGGTACCTTTTAGCCCTTGTTGCTCGTTTGTCCCTGAGAAATCACTTGCTGTTCATCACAGAGGTGGAGACTCGAGTCACATGACTTGGATTTGAGTCAGACTGGAGTCACAGATTTAATGACAATGGATTCAACTCGCCTTGGACATTAACACTAATGACTCACTTGCACCTGAGCCTTTTGACTTGACTTGAAAATACTTGATACCCTCCCCCAAGCCCAAAAATGAAAAAGTATGTTATGTTAACAGTGTGCCAGGAATCAGTTCATTTTCTTTCATTTCCTGATTCAGCTATAGACTGTAAAAATGATGGACGTAGCAACCGTGGCATCACCCATTGGTTTACGGACTGCCATTTTGAAGCCTCGAGTTTTGCACTTCAGTCGTTGCCATTTTGGTTTTTTGGAGCCAGAAGTGATCATTTGAGTGAGAGGCTGCCGCTGTGGAGGAGTGAGGGGTGGATCTGACTGAGAAGCCGAGGACACTATCGACAGACAGCCTGTCACTGCAGCCCGCTCCAAATTATGTGTAACTTTAAGCTTTAATAAAATTTTAAAGGGTGAGTTGTAAAAAAAAATGGGGAAAGGGGGAAATTAGTTGTAGTGACCAAACTGTTTTTGTGCCAGGCTGTTGGGCATTTTAACATGATGATCTGGTGATTGATCTGCTTTTGGAGCCAGCCTTAAGTGGCCGTTCAAAGAACTGCAGTTCAGTCAGAAGCACTTTAGTCAAGGAAAACTTTATTTCCATTTGCAGTATTGTATTTGGTGGTATGACTCCCCTCTGGCCCCTCTGTCTTTCCTTGGGCCTATGTAGAGAGCCTAAGGTGGAGATAGCACACCTCCCTGCTCTTCCATGTGCATACATAGAAAGCCTAAGGCAGGGAGAGCAGCAGCAAAGACCCCCGGGAACAGAACAGCAGCATCAATGACAAACAGAAATGACATTGATAAATCAGACACAGCATGTAAAGGAGGAGCTGGGGTGGAGGCAGGTTGCAAAGCGGCATGCAGAGGAAGCAGCAACAGTAGGCAGGCCAGAGCAGTTTAAATAGGGCGCCTTGAATGAGATTCGCCAATAGTTGCATAGAAAGGAATCATCATATCAGCTGACTCCCTTTCATCAGTCAGCTGCTCCATCAGTTGACTGGGCTGCTTGAGATCAGCTGATGTAGCTGGGATGTGAGCTGAGCTTGACATTGTGTCCTGCCTGATCTAACACTGTGTTCAATTTTTTGGCACGTCTGTGTTGGCTTCATTTTTCAACCCCGGAGATTGCCAGTTGGATTCGCTGATGCTGTTCATTCCCAGGAAAACCACACTTTTACAGTTCCACGTTGTTTGAACCAGTCTGACAGCATCCAATCAAGTTGCAGGACAGAACCAAGAGGAACTAACGTTACGGTACTGAGCGCCAGTTGGAAAAAAAAGATGATTTTATTTGCATACAGAAACTATGCAGTGGTCAAGAACAAACAAATTACAGTATACAATACGTGCAGGTCACAAATTACAACTTCCAACTTACACAAAGAACAGTAAATCAAGGCTGATATTAACATAATTTGCAAGCTAATGCTAAGCTAATGTCAGCTAAACAGTAAAGTAACAGAAACTTGTTTTAACAAATGAATACATTTTAAAAAGCACTCATAATTTTTGTTAATTTGGTGCCAGCTGTGCAACAGCAAGGCAACTATATATAATCTTTAGTGTTTATTATTATTATTATTATTCTTAATCTCCTATATCAATTTTGCAGGGAAACTTGTCTTGCAGCGTTGCTAACACATCGGCAACAAACACATCAAAATGCATGGATTGATTGGGAATGGATCGCGATGACTTTTCGCAGAGATTCACCTGGCTGTTATTACGAAAGTTGCAAAGAAATGCGTAAAAGTTTCTATTCCCATTATGCACACATAGTGCTCAGTACCTGTAGTATGCAGTACTTGCAGCAGTAGCAGGCGCCTGTCAAAATTTCTTGGGAATTTGTCCCAGTTTAGCAAACTATGTTAAAATGCTGTTATATTTGGTGAAGTGCACATTATAACTTGAAACTCAAAGTTTAGGACTTGAGACTTGACTTGGGACTTGAGTACAAAACCTTGAGACTTACTTGTGACTTGCAAAACACTGACTTGTTTCCACTTCTGATTTATCACACACAACCACATTTAGAGGCTCTTCTATGTGTGCTACACTAACTTCTGTTTCTTTTTTTTTCATATTTCCTCTTTCAGATGTCGACAGGTTCCACTTGAGTGTGTGTGTGTGGCTGTGTTGTTTGTGTGCACATCTGTGTGCACTTCCTGCGCTTTGACAGTGCTCTGATAGGAATATCCTCCTACTGGGCCAGCAAGCAGTAAAGCCTGGCCCTCCTTTCCTCTCTTTCTTACTCTGTGCGCTGACATATTTTCAGGCTGTTTCACAGCACACCTCACATTTCTGGCTCCTTATGTACTGCACTGAAGTTGCCAGATGTGATAGCAGCAGAAGAGAGGGAGAGAAAGAGGTGAGAGACAGACAGAGACAGAGATGGTGTGTGAAGGGTAGTGATGAAAATGGAGGGAGGGGTAAGTGTGTGTGTGTGTTAGTGTGTTTCGGATGCTGTTTTTAGCATAAGAGCCACTGTTCGTTAGCAGTAAACACAGAGTGAGATAGAGAGTCAGCGAGGGGAGGAAATGAACAATGGAGGGGAAATGATCAGTAATCTCGAGTGTTAGCTGTCAGCCTCCACTGCAACAGTCTGTCTGGAGCTCATTATAGGTAAATTCATTTGGCTTACGGGCTGAGGGCCGAACATACACGAGTGTTTGAGGAAGTGTGTGTGTATGTGTGTGCAGGAAAGCACAGATGAATGGCTGCAAGAAGCAAAGTGTGCATATGTTTTGGTGCTTTGATCCTCTGAGCTCTGTTTGGAAACCTGTTTGCTGTTTGTTGTCTTTGTTTATTAGGAACCAGACGAGCCAGTTGGAATCTGCATGATAAAATATATATATAGATTCCGCATTTGGCAGCTAAATGCATTACCATTCACTGGAGATCTAGTATTATGCCAACTCTTTCACACTGGTGAATTGAGCTCTTGAATTATTTAACACTTGATAAGGTCTACTATGATATCAAAGGGAAAATTCAAGATTTTTACATGAAATTTGATTTGTGGAAACATTAGAGACTATTTCAAAAAGAAATTCTCAATATCTTAAAGGTCCAGTGTGTAGGATTCAGGGAGATGCACTGGCAGAAATGGAATATGATGTTTTCTTTAGTGCATAACCACCTGAAATAAGAATAATGGTGTCTTCATTCCCTTTGAATGAGCCATTTTATCTACACAGGAAATGGATCCTTGTTTTCAGAGATCTCCATGTTTCTACAGTAGCTTAAAAGAGATGAATCATGTACTGGCTCCAGATGGGGCTATTTGTGTTTTCGCGTCAGCCCCTCTGCGACGAGAGCGTCTGAAACAAAGATCTTTTAACGTGAAACTGCTTTATTCAGTGTTTTCACTGGTTTAAATCACCTGGTCTGTTTGTTTCGGAGAGGGAGAGACCTCTGTGGATAATTCAGCTCCCGGTAAAAACCACTTGTATAACAGCAATGTCAAACCTGTTCTGCTGTACGGTTCTGAGAGTTGGCGAGTGGTCAAAACAGACGTGATGAGAATCTGTTTCATAATGGATGCCTTAGACAAATATGCCAGATTTTATCGCCAAACAAAATCTCCAACCCTTAACGTCACACACAGACATTTGAGATGGCAAGGCCACGTGCTAAGAATGGAACAGGGATGCATAATGAGAGTCGACTTAAGATGAATGCCATCAGGCAAAAGAAAAGACCCAAAGCCACCTGGCGCAGACCTGTGACACTGGAGTTGGAAAAGATGACATACTGCCAAGGATCGAACGCAATGGAAAGAGCTCATTGAAGCCTTACATCTCATAGGGGATGAAGAGGAGTAAGTGAGTGAGTAAAAACCTCCTGAACAATGAACACTAAAGAAATTGTAACGGGGAGAAGTTTCAGCTGGTTGCAATCTGCAGTCCTCACTGCTAGACGCCACTAAATCCCCCTAAAATCATACAAAGTGTTCCTTTAATATACAGACTGTAGTCTAAACCTCATTTTTAGTGTGTATCTTGGTATGATAAGTTGTTTTTGTGCGTACCCATCATCAGGTTCCCTTGCCATGTAAGCGTAATGATGATTAGGCATTGTCTCTGTGTTAGTCTAAGTCGGGGGGAAAAAGAGGAAAGAGGCTCTGAAAAGAGGGAAGAAGTTGAAAGACGAGTGCAAAAATAGTTAACAGAGTGTAAACCACTCTCAAGGGAGAGACAGACAGAGTGTGCATTTGTACGTGCGTGCGAGAGAGAGAGGCCGTGTGTGCGCGCGCGTGTGTGTGAGGTCTGCGCAGGGAGACGGAGCTTGCCGTCTGGAAAACAGCATCTTTCCCTCCACTCTGCTCCTCCCCTCTTCCCTCTCGGCATCTCTCCCACGCTCCAGAGCTCAGCCTTCAGCTCCCCAGGATCCTCCCAAATTCTCCCGAGGTACAGCCTGTTTGTGTTTGTGTGTAAATGTGCATTTAAGCCTGCGTGTGTGTGTGCGCGTGTGCAAGTACTTGACGCTGTGCTCAGTACTTTCCGTGTGTTTTTCTCTCTCTCTCTCTCTCTCTCTCTCTCTCTCTCTCTCTCTCTCTCTCTCTCCCTGCAGCTGAGGTGGGCGTGTGGAGCCTCTGACCCTCTTCGCCCACTCTCTTTCTCTGTCTCTCCCTCTTTGCTGCAGCTTCAGGGGGCTATGGATGGACTGCGTTTACCTCCACTCATCGAGGAGGCTTTGGACTCTACAGGTCTGTGCAGCTGTTTTGTCAGTGTGTGTGTGTTTAGCTGCGACTCAGTGCAGTTGGATGTGAGCTATTTTTAGCCCCGGCACTACAGATCAGATATGATCAGCAAGAAAAGGTAGAGGGGTCGATGTTTATCTCTGCTGAGAAGGAGTGTTTACTCCTCAAGTGAGAGATGGGGTGCTGAACTGAGGAGGCGTAGGAGCTGGAGAGAGGTGGTCAGGTGGTAGGAGGTGGGGAGATGATTGTGGAAGGCTGTCTTTATTAGGAGCTGTGGTCGAGCTGACAGACTGACTGACGAGTGGGCATTGCTGTCAGCCATGGCATCTGTGGACATTTGATGGAGGCGACATGCTGCCAGGTAATAATAGATGGCTGGCAACCAGAGGCAGGAAATAATGCAGTCATTAGTGAGGGCTGTGTTAGATGTGCATATGTTATTCTGAGGCTGATTGAGGCTTGATGCAATGTGGAGTCACGCTGTGTTGATTTTAGTTCAGCTTCTTTTTATACTTTATGCTTGGACTGTTTTCAGCTCTAAAATTAATGCTTTGCTTATAATGGTTGTGTTGAACAGCTGCCTGTTAGGCTTGTTTGGTAACTTCATACCATTAAATGTTGTTGTATGGCATTTGACACAATGCATCTTCACAGATTCATCGCTGTGTGACTGTGATTACGATGAAGGAATGTGGGGAATGTTTCCTGGTATCCCAACGAGGAAGAAGTGAGTTTTCTCCATGTTTTGAATGGGTGTGCGGACAGAGCAGCTCTGTGCGGGACACTGTTAGGAGGATGTTTATTGGTGCGGAGGGACTCAGAGAGACCCACGGGTCAGCTGCCCTTTGACTGGCGGCCACGTTGCCAGAATCTGGCTTCCTTTTCCTGTGTAGTACTGTCCTAAAATTGAACTTTCACTAGACGTGCAATTGGCGGATTATCTCTTAAACCCCCCTGCTCTTCATAGACTTATTTAATCACTTTGTTTTTGTTCAGTTTTGAATAGTAATGAAAAGGATTTTTCAGATTGTGAAGAAACCAACCCAGGCGCCAGAAGAAAATTTTGGCATTTGACATTTCTAGAAAGCGCAAATACGTCTTATGTATCATAACATGTAGTAGCAATGTAGCAAATTGACCTGGTTTTATTGACAGACATGCTGCCAAGCTGCAGATCTCTGTAGACCACTGTTTGAGACCAATAAACAACAAAACTGTCTATTTTTAGTGAGTTATTGCTGTGTTTCCAATGGCTTTTCAGCCCCCAAATCTTGGTGTCTTTTAGGGACCCATCGCTGTTTTTCCAGCGCGGATAGTGCAATGAAAAGGGATTGTCCCTGCTGGCACAGTCCCAGCTGTTAACACAGACTGCTGTGTTTCCAGCAGGGACTGTGCCACCAAAACCAGTATTTTAGCCGCAAACATGATCTTTTCATAACCGTTACCAAATGTATTTTGTGTCTAAACCTAACCAAAAGTTTACCACAAAAAAGTGAGTAATTTCCCTTATTAGAGACCACCGCAGACTACTGTTTGTGGCCAACAAACAACAAAATGGGCTGTTTTTAAGTGTGTGATGGTAGTGTTTCCAGCATATCTTTAGCCCCCAAAAGTGAGTGCTTTTCACTGTTTTTCCAGCAGAGTTAGCGCCAAGAAAAGCAGTTGTTATTTTACCAAGAAATTGCTGCATTTCCAATGGGGATATTGCCACCAAATTCGGGTATTAACAGCCAAGACATGATCTTTTCATAACTATAGCCAAGTGGTTTTTGTGTCTAAACCTGACCACAAGTTAACCACAGATTTGTTGAAACTTGTGTGTAATTTCCTTTATTACAAACCACTGCAGACTACCGTTCGAGACCAACAAACAACAAATTGGGTTGTTTTTAGCGAGTCATCGTAGTGTTTCCAGTGGCTTTTTAAACCCCAAATGTTGGTGTTTTTTTAGCAACCCTATCGCTGTTTTTCCAGCGGGGATAGTGTCATGAGAAGCTTTTTATTTATTTATTTATTTATTTATTTATTTATTTATTTATTTTTTACACCAAGACATCAGTGTTTCCAGCAGGGATCGTGCCACCAAAACTGGGTGTGTTAGGCTGAAACATTATCTTTTCCTAACTGTAACCCAGTGTATTTTGTGTCTAAACCTAACCAAAAGTTAACACAGCTTTGTTGAAACTTAAAGAAGTGAGTAATTGCCTTTATTACAAACCACCACAGACCACTGTTCGAGACCAACAAACAACAAAATGGACTGTAATTTTAGCAGTCATGGTAGCGTTTCCAGCACCTCTTTAGCCTCCAAAAGGAAGTGTTTTTTAGCTACCTGTCGCTGTTTTTCCAGCAAGGCTAGTACCAAGAAAAGCTGTTGTTTTTTACCAAGAAATTGCTGTGTTTCCAGTGTGTCTAAACCTTAGTTAACCATAGCAATGTTGAAACTTAAAGATGTCAGTAATTTCCTTTATTACAGACCACAGACAACTGTTTGAGACCAAGAAATAACAAAACAGGCTGTTTTTTAGTGAGTCATCATAGTGTTTGCAGCACCCTTTAAGCCCCCAAAAGTGAGTGTTTTTTAGCAACCTGTCGCTTTTTTTTCAGCGGGGATGGTGCCAAGAATAGGGGTGGGTTTTTTTGTTTGTTTGTTTTTTTTACAGAGAAATCATTGTGTTTCCATGCCACCAAAAGCGGGTATTTACAGCCAACTTTACTTACTAGAACCAAGTAGTTTCTGTATCTAAACCTGAACACAAGTTAACCACAGCTTTGTTGAAACTTAAAGAAGTGATTTATTTCCTTTACTACATTTATTATGCTGATGTGTTGACCATCACAACACTGGATGCTGTCTCAGGAGAAATTCTTGGTTCCTGACAAGCTTGTTCCTGTTGTCTTAACTCTGGAGACCTCTCTCCTTTCATCACAGCCGGAGGCATGCTTTTAAAGACGGAAACTCACCATACACTGATGACAAGTGTCTGGTTTAATGTAGCGTGAATCCTGATCATAATAAGGATAGACACACAGCAAACGAAGAGTGGATTGAGGGATGGCTCGTATTAGCTTGTGTCTTTTTGACTTGCACACATTTAGGGATCTAAATGGAATAAAGTGCATTTATCTGTCCAGGCTGACGCCAGTCGCACAGCAGATAGACATCAGTCTGCGTTCTTACAAAAAGGAGACTATTATTTTCAAGGCTTTTTCAGTCCCACCTGGAATTAATTTCACACTGCGCTGAAAGAAATGCTTCTAAAATCATTTGCCACATCTACCAACAGGGAATACAGATGCTCTCACACAAACACACGCTCGCACTGATCGATAAAACACCCATCAGAGGCTGATTTGACATTTGCAAGCCGTCTGTGTATCTTCCAACCGTCGGCCACCATATTGTTCCTCCCACTTGCACGAGTCGTCGGCCATATCTTTCTGCTTTCCCACTCAATATCTCTTCCCCCTCTTTCAAATGCAATCCTCTGCTCTCTTCAGCGCCCACACGCCCTCCAACACACACACACACACACACACACAGACACGTGTGCACGCGCATGCATATACACACACGAACCTTTGCACCTGCCAGCGCCTCGGCCCACACAGCATTTCTTTCCCGTCCTCTCCTGCTTCTCCCTCCCCAGTGTTGTACCCTCACATCAGCGGTGATACTCCCAAAGGGTGCACAAACAGGATTTCTCTGAGCTCTCTGGAACTAATAAACAGCAAAGTTGCTGCCGTAGACAAACTTTGTCGATGTGGGATCTGCAGGGGCCTCTGAGAAAAACAACAATGTGAGATTCTCACATCGGTGTTTAATATGGCTGGTCAAATGAAAACAAATCTCGCATGTTTTTCCACCCTCAGGCGTCCCGGCTCCTTCTCCCTGCGCCACCCTATCCCCATTTTCCCCCATCAGACTTTTTAAAGCAGGCTTTCAATGCACTCTGTGGGTCACTGACAAAATTGAGTGTGCCACATGTATTTTTATTCTCTCTCAGTTGCATAATGGAAAAATTCCTGAAACTTTCGGGTGAATAGAGCGGGTTCATGAACTCACACGGCTCCTTCCCGCAGCTCATTCTATGGATTTTAAAGAACTTTTCTTCTCCCTCGCAAAAATGCTTGGCGCTGTCAACCTATCATTAGCGCGCCCTCTCTCCCCCTGGGTCTTTATCCTTTTTGGATTTGGCAGCTTCAATATGAGCTGTGTAACCCCCCCCCCCTTCCTCTTGAGTGATGTAAAACCTTCCAGAGATAAGCTCTCAGGTGGGAGGCGCTGATATGTGATCAAATGGATTGTTACCGCATCAATTGTTTTCCTGCTTTGTTCTCTTTTACTATTCATATCCTTTAATGGAATAGCTACACAGCAAGCACATGCACACGCACTGCACCACCACACACATATTACCATTAAAAGAAGCATCTTCCCTGAATCAATCACCTCCAGTATGTACACACTGACACAGTTTTTGTGCACGCTCATCTAATGAGGCCAAATTACATCTCATTCTGCAATGCATCTCTCTTCCGTTGACCCACTTTCTCTTATTTCCCTTTGAAAGTGCAAACATGGATTTTCCATTTAAATAACAGAGTGGCTCATTAAGTCAGTCCAACTCTTTGGTGCTTGTGGTTCCTGTTTCTTTTCTTGTCGTCTCCCGCTGCTGTTGTTCCCTGCTCTCCCTGGAGTTTTCAGGCTCAAAGTAGAGAAAGAGAGAGAGAGAGAGAGAGAGAGATAAACTCACATTAACCTCATGAGACCTCCGCCCCTGTAGCTCGCTCCCCATCTCCAGCTGTTGAGTCGCACGCATTTTGAAGTCAGCTAATCTCATATGATGCTGACTTCACTCTGCGGGCCTCATGGAGGGACACCTGATAAGATCCCCTCTCCGTGGGGGAAAGCAAATAGCGGACAGAAAGGTTTCCATGCTGAGCAAAAGTGTGGACAAAACAGCTTTATTACCATGGCGATTTCCCCATATGGTGAAGCGCTGGGTTGTTGGTGTGCAGAGGTCACCATGGAGATGTATGGCTTCACCTGACTCATGTTAGTTTCATGTGGAACTGAGCGGCTGGAGGACCTTGGGGCCGTATCATAACTCCTTTTGCTCGCATCTCTCTTATTGTCTTCTCCTCCTTCCCTGTTTTGCTCTCTCCGTGTTTTTCAGCTCCCCCTCCCTGCTCCGAATTATGTGTTGCTGAGGAAGTGTGCCAGTGCAGGGGGAAAGCTACAACATCAGTACTGGGCTGGCTTCAAAGCTGGGCTAGGAGGGGGTGGTGTGCATTATGCATGGCCTCCTACACAGCTGCAGAGATCCATGGAATACATACACATACCATGCACATGCA